AATCGGAATAAACCCGAAATCACAATATGGCTTTATCAAATCACAAAGTCTACGATTTATTTAAATACATATATGTGCTGTTTGTTTCAGAGTGAAGCAGGGCACTCTTTTATACCAAAATACCTAAGACATAAATAATAGTATTGTAAATTTACAGTTGTACTGTAAAATATAATAATAAAAATTAGAGATCGACCGATATATCGATTTACCGATATTTTTCCTGATATTTAAGCATTTTACCATAATCTGATATCGGTTTTGTAATATCGGATTCACCGATAAATGGCGCCATCTTTTGGGTGTTTAGAGAATTGCAGTGCGTCTGAGGGGAGACGAGACAACAACAACGGCATGGTGCAGGTACTTGATTTGCTATAGTTAGTAAACTTTATTTAACATAACAGCCATTTATGCACAAATTAGATGCATTACATAGATGCCTGATATGTAGTTTATGCAGCTTGGCTCTAAGAAATAGAGACCAACTCACAAAGTGAAGTGTGTTCTTACTTCACTCAGTCATTTATTTACTTTATAACAGTAAATAAATATCGGTTCTGCATATCGGTTATCGGGCACATAAACATGCAAATAATTGGTATTGGTATCGGTTATAAAAAAATCTATATCGGTCGATCACTAATAAAAATAAGAATAATATAACAGCAGCAACTATTTTACAGTGGTATATTACAATAGTAATTTCTTATTTTGTTTAGTAAATTATAACAACATCAGCAATAATAACTGCAATATTGAAATATTGCAATAAACATTTCTTATTTTGTTTATTAATAATAATCATTATACATTTCCCCGAATTGTGTTGTCTTATGTCAAAATTAATGTTACATTATTGCAATGAACATTTAGTTGATATATTAAGTTATCATATTTACTACATTTGACATTATTGCTTTTTGGTTGTGCTTTCTAAATACTGGTTAAAAATCAATAGATTAATCACAATTATTTCTTTCTGTTGAGGACCCGGGCTTTAGGAGCAAGAAAAAAAAATCTGAATCTCCATACAGTTCTGCAAATGTTTATTTGTTATATTTTACAGAAACTTTCATAATTAGCTGTGGCTTCAGTGCAATATGAAAGCCGAGTATTTATTTTGTCATGCAGTGAAAGGAAAACTCTCACAACAGAATCATCAAACTTACAATAATGTTTGAAAACCCCCTTATTTCAGTCATGGTAGTTGGCCTGCTGGTCAAAGGTGGTCTGTTAGCTCTAACTAGTCTTAGCAATCTACCAGGACGAAACAATATTCACAAGTTGGTAGTCTGTTGGTCAACCATCTTGACCAGTTTGGAGCAGCTAATGACTGTAAATGTCCTACTATAAACTATGTAAACTAGTTAAGTTTCCAATCTGTGTCCTTTATGTAGAGGATGAGCCTTCGTTTTGAAAGCAGACTAAATTCTGATAGAGGTCATGCCGGGTCACAAGGGAGTAGGGCTGCAACAACTAATCGATAAAATCGATTATGAAAATCATCGACAACGATTCTCATTATCGATTAATCGGGTCTGCCCACAGTGCACGTCCAACGGAGTTTACATACTTGTCCAACTTCAGCCGGTCGCGTCAAATTAAAGCACTGAATTACTTATTTCTATGGACAAAATGCATCTAAAATAGTGGAGGAAACAGAATGAGATGCTGCAGGAGAGTTACGTGATCCAAGCTAACTTACCCAAAACATGAGAATTCTTTATTTTAAGCTTTAAGCTAATGCATTAGCGTAATGGCTTGCCCTGTCAGGCGCTTTAACAGATGCGTGTGCGTCCTCAAATTCACGCGAGCATTTCCATTTTTGCATAAAGGTCCGTCCTGACAGTCTGTGATAAATTTTAATCTTTACTGAATGAGCGCCAGCGCTGTTGTTGAAAGTTAAATTAAAGTTTAAAGGTCAACATGCATTGCGCATATTTTATGAGAGTAGGAACTGTAAGGGGATAAAAGCGTGTAATTGTCTGAATATAAATATCAGACGCTTCAAAACCGCCTTTAACAGGATAAAGAAATGACACTAAGCCCTATTCGGAATCCATGAGTTTTATCACTGAGGTGATAAGTATATTTATTTTTACAGACGTCCATATGAGAAACAATTACCGTCCAAATCGGGCTATGACGTGACTGTGGTCAAATTAACGTGTGTTCCAGAACATTACTCTTACCTATGAGTTTTTGATTTTATTCGTCTTTATCATCTTTATTATTATTTAAATTTTTAATGCAGAGATTTAAACTATATTCACCATATACAATACTTAACAAATTTATTAAAACAAATTTATGTAAGGTTTTTAACAAATTATGGTTTGTGCCACTGCTGCTCTAAACTAACAGTACTGGTGATTACCAAAATAATTT